TGAAGATTATCAGGCAAGATTGGAGCGTCTTTTTTTAACGAGTGATGGAGGCAGATTTATGAAGTTTATCTGTGAGGATTTTTATAACCTAGAAGAACATCAGCTGCCCTGAAACTAACTGTATGTGTCTCGTGGCTGTGTGTTTTCTGTGTTATCTATTCAACATTTAGCTACAAACACAATGAATCAAGGCTGTGATCGTTCACACAGAGTAACAGAACTCAGTATAACCAGGTTACTGTGTCAACATGAGTTACTGATATTCAGGCTAAAAATAGATTTTAGTGCCATTTGGATGCTCGCTGCTAACTTTAAACACTTAGATGATCTATTTGCTGAATGTTTCACCTCGCAGCCCATCCTGAGACGGAAGCCCTGGTCCTCTCTGGAGATTCCTCCGATCACAGCCACTGTGCGGATGCCGAGCGGTTTACCAAACTTTATGGTCTCCTCTTCAATCTGCTGCGCCAACTCACGAGTCGGGGCCAAGATCACAGCATAAGGACCCTGATCTGAGTCTTCAATCCTGCACAAAGAGCCAACCAGAGAGCAGAGGGATGTAACAGACAGTTGTGTGAGTAACAACATTTATTGGCACATTATTAGCGGGTTTACTTGATGTAATCTGAGCCTGAGCTGTGTTACCTTTCAATCTTTGGCAAGGTGGTGATCCAGACCAGCAGTGGAATCAGGAAAGCAGCCGTTTTACCGCTACCCGTCTCAGCCACACCAATGATGTCACGGTTCTGTAAACCAATAGGAATGGCCTGCCTCTGAATAGGTGTCGGATCCTGGAGTTTAAGAGAGAAAAAAGTCATTATTAGTCAATAAATTGACCAAATATAGTGAAAGACAGTCAGGTGAGATCAGTTTGAAGACTAAAAACGAATTAATTCCGACTATTTCAATCATTTTTTCAAAGATTTGTAAGTATTTGCTTTTCAAAGGTTACACAAATCAATCAAAAACTCCCCCACTCTGTATTCCTCTTAAGAAAACGTGCACAGCCAGCTTACCTTGTAGCCGCATTTGTCGATGACCTCCACGATGTGTGCAGGCAGCGAATACTCCTTCCAGTTCCTGATGGGGTTCGGGATCTTTCCTCCCTTCGTGGTGATGCTGTAGTCCTCTCTGAAGATTCGCCAGTCTCTGTCCGTCATCTCGTCCAGCTTCTTCTGAGACCAATGTCTGTCGTCCCAGCGCTGCTTGGCTTCCTTCTTACGCATCTTCTTCAGTCGTACCCTGAGAGGAG